GTCCAGTGGCCGTTGTTCTTACCTAAAGCCTGGTGCACTGGTGGCACAGCTTCCTGTCTTCAGCCAGATGCAGTATGGGTCACGGGAAGCCAAGCAGCTCCTAGGAGACCAAGGAAGAAGTGATGTCAGCGCTTTGGAAGAGCCATAAGCATGCCTGGGGGAAGTCATCTGACATAGTGGACAAGTAATGTGAAAGTCCCAGAAGAGGCTCCGCTCTTATCCCGAATCCCTCCAGCAAAAATACCCAGAAGTACACACAGGTGGAAAAAGTCACTTCGGATAAATTTGACATTCAAGCATCCGCATGTAAATGTTTTCATATGGAGGCTACAGAACAGGACAGGAGTGTTTTTTTTTTTTAATTAGATAACAGTGAGTCACACTGCCTGATCCACCAGCTCATACAGGAGCAAACGAAGTTGAGTCAAGCTACTTAAAGAAAAATCATTTATGTTGGGTCAGACTGAATTTCCACTGAAATGCTCAAAATAATTACAAGCTTTTAAATTTAAACATGAACAGTTTTTATTTTTAAAAATGAGTTTTTGTAGAGAATGTGATGGTAGAATTTCAGTTCCCATTAATGGGAAAATGTCAATATATTTGCCTTTCAATGAATCAGATATTGGAATTGATTGCAGGTCTGTTAATTCTCAGGATCCTATATTTGTTTCTTTAAACTGAAAGTAATTATCTACAAGCTTGGTATTTGTATGGCTTTGGCCCTTTAGCGTTTGGGGATGAAACCTTCCGGCTTGGGCCGCCTCAGGGATTCGTTCTTAGAACCAATCAAAATTCCGGAATGATCATGCTTGGAATGCAGGAAGATGTACTGTCAGCCCCAGGGATCCTGGAGTCCAACGCTGCCTTGTCAAGATGCTCGAACGACCATGGGAACTTGGACTGTCAACTTGACTACAACAGGAAGAACAACACCTGCATTTACAGCCCCATCCTTAAATGGATGCTCCACAAAGGTCTTAGGATGTCACTCCGAAACAGGCTCGCAGTGGGAAACTCCGGTGGAATGGAGATTAACCCTCTTCTTTGTTTCCTTACTCTACCCTCATCCAGCAGAAATCCACCGATATGGTGATCGGGCTTCTCTGCACTGCCTTGCACTGATGTTAGGGGTTTTTGCTGCTACGAGAATTGAGGCGGCTTCAGGTTCACTTAGGGACACAAACTCTCTCTCCTGTCCTGCCGAACCTGTGAGGTCTATTTGAGCCTTGCAAAAAAAAGAGAAGCCTGCAAGTTCTTGGGCTTTCGGATGAGGTCTCACACCGCGCCGCCGTTGCTCTGGTGACAGGCTGTCTGAAATGCTCAAACTCTGACTGCCGCAGAGCCGCAGGGGATGCGAGCAAGCTGTGCAGCAAACTTTTAAGGTAGGACATCTGTACCAAGTCTGATCTTCTCTCCTATTAAACACAGGATTTAGGGCTGAAGGTTTTAACACCTCAGATGATTTACCCAGGAAGGGATACAAGTCTGATTTCATTCATCTGAAGGAAAGATATGGAAATTATGTACTAAAATATGCTTATTCTTTTATCTGCTACTATTCCTGAACAGTCCTTGAGCCAATCCCAAGCAGGACAGGGCACAGGAACATCGCTTGGGATGCTAGTTCATTGTAGGGCACATAAACGTACATAGTCATACCCTATGGGCAATTTACAGATGGCAAATATTCTAACTACATGCCTTTGGGCTGTTTTAGGAAACTGGAGGACCTGAAGGAATCCTGCACAACACAGGAATATAGAAACCCCACACATACAGGGTGGGGAGCCACCATTTTAAGCCATCATGCCACTCCCATTTGTCCAGATCACTCCAGTGCATTCTGGGTTAAAATGGTCACAGACTTACATCAGTTTCCAGTGGCACTGCTTTACAGCCAGTGATCTGGCTGTGAACCGACCTGTCATATCCACGAAATCCCAGGATGCCTGATGCATGCATTCCGGCAACTGTAATTGGAGACATGGCCTGGAGCCTTTCACCACCTCCGGTACCACAGATTGACTGCTGAGTGGTGGTTCTCAGCCAACAGGAATTCAGTAAGTGGAGGAACAGGCTGTCAATCAGCTGTTGCTACTGAATGAAAACCAATGTTGTGGGCGTCGCCGTGCATGTGCCAGGTGTGAGTGAATGCATTTGATCATTTGGAAACAACCCTCTTCCTCTATCTCATCAACTTAATCTATGATTCTGGCTAATATATGTATGTATATATGTGTGAGTGTGTGTGTGTGTGTGTGTGTGTGTGTATAGATAGCGGGAGGATGAAGTGACATCAGCTTCTCTTTATACCCGAGTCGGACACATCCGACCCCCGGAAGCTCAAATCTGACACCTCGCATCGGGACAGCTTCCGTAACGAGCTGCTGTGCACCCAGACTGACAGATGGATCGTTTCGAGAGCTCGTCACCGAGGAATGCCACTCACATCTTGCAGGAGCCATAGTCAGAGCAGCGGCTGAGGGGGACGCGGATGACGCAGCTGGAGAAGGCCACGAACAGGGCGTGGTGCTCCTTGTCCAGTTCCAGGCCCAGGACTCTCCGGTCCTCCCCTTGCACGTTACACCTGGAGAAGCAGCACAACGAGTCAACATCAGCGTGGCTTCCAGCAACTGTGTGTGGGGGTGGGCTTCCTGTAAGGCAGCTGCCTAGGCTCTCCAAAAACCAGGGGCCCCACGGAGACAGAATTTACATTTATGAATATATGATAATATGATACTTTATATGATAGCAACTTGTTTGACAGTAGCATTTTTAGCAATGTTTTTCAGTATGCAGTCCTGCTCCCCCCGTCCAAGTTGTAATGGACTATTCTAAATCTAAGACTTCCTGTTTCATTAGAAACTCAGGTAAACAGACGTATTCGAGCAGGACCCTGGTACTGTTTCCACCTAGAGCCTCCAAATCCTTGACTCCTCCTGCAGGTGGCTGGAAATTAGTGAAATTGATGCACCATGATTATAAACAGCGGCACATTTTGTTCGAGGACCGAAACGTTGTGGCTGAAAGTGCCCAGTCCTGCACAAGGAAATAAGAGCACAAAGAGCGAGCCACCGGTGGGGGGGGGGGGGGAGGAGAGTGATGCAGCTCCTGTCACTCAGCAAGAAAGTTACAGGTTCAAACTCTGGAAAGGCTGTCAGATCTGGGTGCCTGGCTTGGCCTATTTAAAGATGCATGCGTGTCAATGGATACCTGTCACTGTGAGGTAAAACCCAGGAGAAACATCTATCAGAGCACCAGACCAGAAGCCAAAGTCGATGAGTGAGTGCAGTGATACCAAGGCAATATCTCTGAAACTCATTCTCCAACGAGCTCCATTTCCCTATATTTATGAGGACATTTGCATTTTATTTATTTATCCTAAAGCAATGCACAATCATGAGCAGAGAGTCAGACAGCGCACTGAGCAACTGGCAGTGAAGGCCGTCCTCAAAGTGAAATCACAGGGATTCAAACCTATGACCCTCCCCTCACAGGCCCAGCATCCAAACCCCCTGAGCCACACAGCACTACTGGGCCATTGCATATTTCACACATTATTACCTATTTAATTAACCTTCAGCTGATAGAGGTTAAGCAGGTATAAACGCGCAGGCGGCGCAGGGCTCACTTGGAGGGGTTGTAGACGTCGATGTCTTCCAGGAGCTGCGAGCCGAAGGTGGCGTTGGGGTGGACACTGGCCAGCACCTTCAGCACCCTGCCGTCCTCCGAGCCCAGAAACAGCACGGTGTAGTTCCTGTAGGGCCCGGCGGAGGGGTCCACGGCAACCTGGGTTAACTTGTATCTATGGACACAAAAACAATTAAAACAGCTTATACCCTGTTAAAGGGACATGCTCGTCTGTAATAATGTAATAATGCTTAAGGTCTATTTGTGTTGTCAAATTATTCTATTGAAAGGGCTGCACCAGCAATTAAACAGAATACACTTCTCTGAAATTAGGCCTCATTATTATGCATCATGGAAAAACAAGGCTGATTTTAGACAGGAACTGCAGACCATGTGTCATCTAACTCTTCATCATCTAGTCTTGCTGACTCAGTCTCCCTGACGCATGTGGAGAGACAAATCAGCTGTGCTAGATGGCTGCGGCAAAATCTAAGCATCTGTACGAGGCCCCACACCGTCTCCACCACGGGGGGGGGGCACTGTCAGCTCCATGGAGTCGTACCTACACTGTGGGGGAGGGAGGAGGGGAAAACCGCGTACCTGCTGCCGGTGAGGGTGAAGCAGGGCCGGTCATTGACGGAGGGCACCGCCTCATCCATGAGTGGGTAGGACTTAATGAAGGTCAGCATTTCGTCGGGGAAGGTGATGGAGGATTTGTAGGCGGCCGCTGGGCCGTCACCCGCACAGCATCCGGGCCTGAGAGGATGACGGGGGAGGATTTGTTTCAGGGTGTGAGAATTCATTCCCCTGTACTTCACCGGACTCACCAGTAAGAAGGGAAAGCTTGCAGATTCTGTTATTCTGTTGTCCAATACTGTCAGAAAAAAGTGCACAGCCCTGGTACAGACAACACTAATGTACCCTGAGTCCATTTCCATACCTTCAATTAGACTAAAAGATACACTTACCTACAGTGATTGGCAGACCCTTGGGGGTACAGCCCCAGAGACAAGTAATCCACAGGATCCAAGTTTCCAAGAAAGCTTATGTGGACTATGTGAGTTGTGGAAATTTTACAAATATGCTTTGTTGGATTTCATGAGGACTAAGTGAATTTTTGTTCCCAAAACTTTAACATATGATGGTTCAGCCTGATTTTCGATGATTGACGCTCTCACCTCAAGTACAACAAAGAATAGACTAAGTTTGGGAAATTTGCTCTTCCGTTATTAAAATAAAATGCATCTGCCCCAAGTGGTAAAATGTATAATTCCAAGCTGCAAAGCTTGTTTTAATGAAATTTTTGAATAAATAATTTACAGGGTTATTTTATTGCAGTACAGACTCCTGGAATGTTCACTGCATATTCGAAAGTCATCGTACCATTATGAATCCCAGCAAATCATGTCATAGCAAATCATCCAGAAGCTCTGCTATTCTCTAGGATACATGAACCCAATTTACCGAAGGCCACTTATCCTAGAAGCTGCTGCCCAGGCCACAGGTCCTATAACAGAAATAATCTAAATATGACGGAGTGAAAAAATACATCAGTAGATAAATATACTTTATACTGTCAGGTCAACATTGGGAGACAGAGCTTGGTGTCAGCCAAGATCTTGCATAGAGTGATTAATCTTACATTTAAGTAGTTCACTCACTTTAACAAGTCTAAGCTTGTATTCTTAGAAGGCTTCTAATAAATGCAAGGATTTTTACATTAAAAACATCCCACGGGAATGTCAGGCAGGTTCAGATTACGGTATCGTGGGCTGTACTGTGACTCTTACAGAAGATGAATGTGGTTCCCTCTGTCTGAACCGCATACTAAGATGCCGCCCAGCCTCACCTGGGCTTGGGAACCTGATCTTCTGGCACCGGGGTCCAGGCCGACTCGCTGCTCTTCTGCTCCTTGAACCTCCCGTTGAAGACGCGCTCGATGTCGTCCATGTAGAAGGCGCACACGGCCGAGCCCGTGATGCTGAGGGGCGCGTGGAGGTCAGGAAGCAGGTAGTGAGAGGACTGGACATTGCGTGAGGTTACACACAACTCAACGGGATGGTCTGAGCTCAGTCCCAACTGCTGGCATGACTGAGGGGAGGCGGGGCTGACCTGTTGGCCTGGGTGGTGAAGACGCCCACCACGGCAGGCCGCTGATTGATCTGCAGCACGTTGGTGAGTGACTGCAGCACATCAAAGTAGAAGAAGGAGTCCCCCGGGACCGAGCAGTTCAGCCGGGCCTTCAGGAACGAGGTCCAATAGCGCTCCAGCACCCGTGGGGAGCCACCATTGTCATTCTTGCAGACCCGTGCCACCCGTGAAAATACAACCTGGTGGGAGGAGCCAAACGGTGATGCAGAGAGAACAGAGCTTACAGCAAGGCTTTGATTGGCTAATAGGAGGAGCAATGGGCAGTGGGAGGGCCCAAGAAAGGGGAGGGGCTAACAACCAGCGAAGGATTTACAAGAGGAGTGGGAAGGCAGCAAAGGCTTGGTAGAAAGTTACAGGAAACAGTGAGTGAGTTTGAAGGAACTGGCCTAGACAACTAACAGGAACAGTAAGAATTCTGACTTCATCCCTACTATATAAAGAGCTGCAAGTCTCAAGACTCCAATCTCATGCCAGCTTATAAATACATCCTTTGTCCGCTGGTCTCTTACCTTGCCAAGTGTGGTGTACTCTATTGCGATCTCACTTAGGAAGAAATACACGTAGTTCCCATATTCAATGGCATGGAGAAAATGAGGCTCTGGAACAAGCCAACACAAAGAAACAGATTGTCACGTTCATAATAGGACGGGATTTATTGATGTCTATGTCATTTCACGGTATGAACTTAACAAACCAAGGAGAAAGTTCACCTCGTAGCCACTTGGAGTCATACTTCACAGTGCGCAAGACTGGACTTCCCTCACCGAGGCTGCGGTAGATCACGGCGTCGCTTGCCAGGAAGTCAGTCATGGTGGCTGAGTAGAAGTCACCCCCTGAAGGTCGAAAAGAGTAAAGAGTAATACGGCGACCTGAGGCTCGCAATCTGTTTCAACAGCAACTATTTCCCAAACTTGGCAGCTGTGATGCCCCTATACTCCATGCCGGTGGGTCATGGGGAAATGCTGATGACGTGGTCAGTGGTGGAAACTCACCAGCAAAGAGCCCCACATTGGACTGCCGGGACTCGAAGGGACAGCGAGCTTGGCCCACCACCTCCTCCCCATCCTGCTCAAGTGTGGACATCTGCAGGATAAGATCGAGGACTTCAGGAGCGCTTCATCTTCCTTAGCATTACAGAAACGCAGCTATGTTGGGGAATTCATAACCAAGAGCTTGCGGATAGAATTTTAGTTTGCTGAAGAGCATGTGTTAGATTCCGCTGTTTCACCCTTAACGTGACAAACTAATAATAATTGATACTTTACTGTCCCTATGAGGAAATTCTTTTTACACCTCCTTCAGCTTGCTCTTTATAGAGTAAGCTGTCTGTGAAGGGCAGCCACCTGTAGTAGCGCCCAGGGAGCTGGGGGTTAAGGGCCTTGCTCAAGGACCTGGGTTTGAACCAGCGACCTTCTGATTATAAGCACACAGGCTTAGCCCAGTGAGCACTAGACAATAAGCTTTCTGTTAGCGAGGAAGGAGTTCATTTCCAGATGATATTCTCTGATGCAGTAGATGTTTCGCACAACCTTCTCAAACTTCACTTCCTGGCTTGTATGAGTTATGGATCTTAAGGCAACAAACAATGTTTGGTCACAGCCAGTCAGGAACCAGGAAGTGGAGATGAACAACTTAGATTCTTGATCATCCGGCCTTGTGGCATCCCGAACAGTCAGTCCATGTTTGCAGTAAGCATATTTGTTTGACATAGCACCTTGCCTTGTGATGACAATAGGAGATGAGGATTAGGAAGTTTCCTAATTACCTTTCATTTGCTTGATTACAGGGCATCACACAAGCTGGAATTTCTGTGTTACAACATGATAAACGTAATACGATGAAGCAACATAACAAAACCCTACAAATTTAAACAGTGAAGCCGTCCAACCTCTGCATTACACTCTCTGCGTTTATTTGATTAATAGTAACCAGAGGTGGAAAGATCCAGAAAGTACAAATCCAGACCAAGAATTTCAACCAACCATTTGACTACTCCATGTGACTCTTTATATTCAACTGGTTAGTTGAAATAAAATCTTGGTCTGGACTTGTACTTTCCACCTCTGATCGCAACAATCAGGGGTGTCAGAGGGGCATGGATG